AAAAAAAAAAAAAAAAGAAATACAGTCTAGGAAATGTTATTTACTGTATCTGGCTTTTATTTTTCCTTGTATTCTGATTTTTCCCTTTTATAGTGAAAAAATAGTATTGTGGAGTCTTTTGTAACATAGTCTAACAGTATAACTGGATATGAAGCATAATTGTAAAATTGTGAGGAAGGACAGTTTCAAACGCTTAAAAAGATGGTCAGCTGTGTAAAGCATTGCCTCAAAGCTAATTGAGTACAGAGTAGAAGAAACTCGGAGCTCTGGGAAAGACATTTTAAAAAGTTGTCTTAACATCAGCTTTCTAATATATGAAATGAGTGGTTTCTCACCTCCCCGGACTCCTTTCTGGAAGCTCAGTTTGCTAAGGATTTAATTGAAAATGTTTCATTTAATTTTGAACTTTCCTATTTACGAAAGTAGTTGGAATGTAAGTTTGAAAAGGCACAGCAAAGAATTGGACGGTTTATCCCTTCTTTGAGTATTGTAGCAATCGTTACAGTGGGTTAATGACCTCCATCTTTCATATTACTCTTTCCTTTGCATGTAATTTTTGGTAAGCATTCTAATGTGTGGAACTGAGATGAGGGTGAGAGAAATAGTTCTTTAAAGACTTAATCTGGTATTCTCTGAGATCATATCCTAAAAGTCTTGAATTTACCCATTTATCTTTATTTAGTTTGAGTTTTGATAGACCACTAAGTGTAAGAGTATGAAAAGGCTATTGTGCTTTTATAATGTTAAAGCATTGTGTGTTTGAATCTAACTCCAAGCCACCTACTTTTTCAAAAAAATTTTTTTCAGGTATATGCCACTGACAATTAATAATATAATAGTGAAAGAAGGACCAGCCACAAAGGTGAATTTTTCCCTTCGGCCAACCGTGGCTTCCGTAATCCCTGACACAACTGAGGTGGTAGTAACTGTTAGCACAGTTGCTCTGCTTAATAATCTTCCTGGAACACAATCCTTCCACCAGCCAATTCAGCCCAAGGACTTTCACCACCACCATTTCCCGGATATGGAAATCTTCTTGAGAAGGTTTGCCAATGAATATCCTAACATCACCCGGCTTTATTCATTAGGAAAATCAGTGGAGTCAAGAGAACTTTATGTAATGGAGATATCTGATAATCCAGGTGTCCATGAACCAGGTAATTAGCATGGTCTTATACAGAATTTCAGTAGTGCCTTTCAGAACTATGTACCATATTTCTGTGTTTCATCTAGAAAAGTCACCTTAAGTATGTATAACTGAAGCAAAGAAAATGTAACCAGGGGTGCCTGGGTGGCTCAGTCAGTTAAGCGTCTGCCTTCGGCTCAGGTCATGATCCCAGGGCCCTGGGATCCAGCCCTGCATCTGGCTCCCTGCTTGGCGGGAAGCCTGCTTCTCCCTCTCCCACTCCCCCTGCTTGTGTTCCTGCTCTCGCTATCTCCCTCTCTGTCAAATAAATAAATAAAATCTTTAAAAGAAAAAAAGAAATGTAACCAATCTTTTGCGAGAAAAAAAGGAAATCCATTTAATAATCCATATTAGGCACAGTATTTAATATACTGCATAGATTAGATTTTCTTCTGCTAATAGTATTTTTATTTTCATATTATGTGGCATGTGCATATCTGTGTATGTGTGTGTGTGTGTGTGTGTGTGTGCTTTGAGCCTCCTCAGACATATATATTGTAAGGAAGCTGCTTTATAAGATACTTTTTCCTGCTTCTTTTGCCAAAATATATCTTTTCTTAAATTTTTGGTTCAGGGTCTTACATGTTGGGGAAAAAATAGAGTCCACGCTAAAATAAAAAGGAAAAAAACTCTTCCATGTAATTATTTTGTTTACAGGTGAACCAGAATTTAAGTATATTGGAAATATGCATGGAAATGAAGTAGTTGGACGAGAACTGCTATTGAACCTCATTGAATACCTTTGTAAGAACTTTGGAACAGACCCTGAAGTGACAGATTTAGTTCGCAGCACTAGAATTCACCTTATGCCATCCATGAATCCTGATGGGTATGAAAAGGCCCAGGAAGGTAAAGAATAGCTGTCTATTAATGCTTAAACTTTTTGATTATCATATAGCGTGATTATTTGGGAGTAGAAGAGAATTTGAACTGGTTGTTTCCTTGGAATTTATAATTTTGTTCTTATATAATTGTTCTGGCTTTCGTATTCTTATAAGATTGGCTAGTTCATTCAACAGTTATGATATCAAGTTTATATTTAATGGAGTTCTCCACTTTGGTAATGGCTCTTATTTCCTAAAAAAATAATATAAGATTTTAATAAATTTTTCCATTCTAAAGAACTTAATTATTTGATTAATAATAAATTAACAAATAACTTAATAAAATACATTTAATTATTTTTTTTAAATTACTGTTACATAGTAATTTTGTTAAATTATTGTATTGGGAACACTATCTCATAGGTGAAAACTCAAACCAAATTTCTTTTGAAGCCGGTAACTCTAAATTGACTCCCAGTTGTGCTCCCCATGCATGCATATTATAAACCTGCTGAGTTATTGAGTACCATTTCTCTGCCTCCTCTGGGCCAGCCCACCTCTCCTGGGGCAATATAGTCAGCAGGGTCCAGGGCAACTTGCTTACAGGGGCCACTTTATGTGGAACGCTAGGAATGTGAGAATCTGTTTTTTCCCAAACTGTGGTTCCTTCCAGGCAATCATACCAGTGAGTAGAGTAGGTACCACCATATGAATATGCAACCACATGACTCTCACTGACTGAACACTGAGAGAATCACCTAATGAATGACCAGGTTAATCCATTTTTTATTATTCAGTTTACTTCGCTAAGGACCTTATTCTTTGTCAGCCTCACAAATCCCTTCACCTTCCTCTTTTGAGACCTTTCTGAGAGATAAAACTATTTACTACTAGTGAACCCTCCAGTAGGTGTTTCTCATTCACTTGCAAATTTTTCTCATCACTATGATTATAATTGCATTCCCGCTCCTTATTAAAAAGGAGTAAATTTAAATTCAACCCTTTCTTCATCAGGTTAAACTTCCAACTAAGTTCTTGACTGACTACCTTTTTGTGATTACTTTAATGTAAGCATATCACAATTTTCTTCTTTTCATTTGGTCTATTTCTTTACGATGTTTTAGTGATGTGTATATCAATACAATAGAACCTTCCTCTGATTAGCCATGTCCACTCAACATTGTGATCATGTCATTGTGTATGGATTATTGACAATTGAGCAGTACTTTTTTTTGAGCCAATACTCTAATATAATTTATACAGTTGGATTTTTTTCCCTTCAAAGTATGAACAGAGGGCAGAAATGAAAGGATAATGGTTTTACCTTTCTGTTCAAAAGATCTGGAAGAGATATACTTTTTTAATGTACAATACCAGAAAATGTGTGTTTTAATCATAATGTGATTAATCATAGTGAAGCCTGATGTGTTCACATTTACCTTTGAGTTAAGATAGCTGAAGTAGTATGTGTTGGATTAAAATGTAAATGAAACATGGCTAAAATTTAAATGCTTTATCATACAGGAGATTCAGTAAGTGTAATTGGCAGAAACAACAGCAACAATTTTGACCTGAACCGAAATTTCCCAGACCAGTTCTTTCAGATCACAGATCCTACCCAACCAGAAACTATTGCTGTAATGAGCTGGATGAAGTCCTATCCGTTTGTACTGTCAGCAAACCTGCATGGAGGTAATAGCAACTTGATATTCCAGTAATTATTTCTTGTTGAGAGCATTTGAAAATCCTGGTGGAATGTTATCTGTTTATAGTCTTAGGCTATCTTAAAATGGGTATCCTATTATCGCTTTTACAGCAGACAGTTATAAAGATCTTTTTCATTGCTTTTTAAGCCAATTTCCTGGCTATTTCCCCCCTTCCTCTCCCACTCTTCCCCTCCCCTATACTCCCTCCCCACTTTCTTCTCCCTCCCTCCCTCCCTCCCCCTATTTCTCTCTCCCCTTGTCCCTCTCTCCCACCCCCCACACTTAGTTCTTCAAGTGTTTTATATTTATCCTTCACATGTGTTTTATGTTTATCCCTCTCACTGGGAATTTGGTAACATACTCTTTGTCATTCAGAAAAATTAAACACTAACAAACTGGAAATCTTTAGTCCTATTCTTCCCTAAGATTTAATACTCTTTTATGTAGGTTTATAAGACATTCTCTTATTTTTTTTCCTTACTATGAATTTAACTGCAGCACAATAGCCTCATTCTCTTGTAGTGTTTGGATTTATATACCTTCATATAATTCAGCAGGAGTTCAAGATTAAAAATCATCACAATGTCCAACTAGGGCTATATGAGTAAGAGTGAAGTGTAAATACCAAAGAGAACTGAAAAGATATGTCTACATGTAAACTTGTACATGAATATTCGTAGTAGCATTATTCATAATAACCTAAAAGTATAAACCCAAATATCCATCAACTGATGATTGGATAAATAAAATGTAGCATACTCATACAATTGACTATTATTCGACCGTGAAAAGCAATGAAGTCCTGATGCATTTTACAACATAAATGAACCTTGAAAATATGCTAAGTGGTAGAAGCCAGTCACCAAAAACCATATATGATTATATTTTATGAAATATTCAGAATAGGTAAATGCATAGAGATAGATAATAGATTTGTGGTTGCCTCAGGCTATGGTGAATAGTGGTGGGAGGAAATGGGAGTGACTACTAATGGGTATAGGGTTTTCTTTTGGCATGATGAAATGATCTATAATTAGATCTGGTTGTACAACCCTGTGAATGTACTAAACAACGTTGAATTATATACTTTAAATAGATGGATGTATGTTATGTGAATTACAGTTGACCCCTGAGCAACATGAGGGTTAAGGGGGCTAGCCCCTGTGCAGTTGAAAATCCATGTATAACTTTTGACTCCCCCCAAACTTAACTACTAAGAGCCCACTGTTGGCCAGAAGCCTTACCGATAACTCAACAGTTGATTAACACATAATATTTGTATGTTGTATATATTATATACTGTATTCTTAGAATAAAGCAAGCTTGAAAAAAGAAAATTTTATGTTACTAAGAAAATCATTTATAGAAATACATTTCTACATTTCTACAAAATCATTAAGAAATACATTTTAGTACTGTAGTGATAAAAATCTGCATGTAAGTGGATCCATGCAATTCAAGCCCCTGTTGTTCAGGGGTCAGCTGTTCATCCCAGTAAAGCTGTTTTTTAAAAGAAAGAGCACAAGGTATTAGCACCAGGGGTAAGGGAAGTAATTTAGCGTCAACATATGTTGGAATATCTAATAAAGTATCACAGTTGAGATTTGATGGCATTTAGATTAACCTGCCATTTATTTTATTTTATTTATTTTTTATTTATTCTTTTTACCTGCCACTTTAGAATGACAGTACACACTTATGATGTTTATAATACTAGTTACATTCCAATGAAAATAATTTACAGATTTACACATGTGGTATCAAACCTTGGCGTGGTGGGGGATACATCTTAGTCATGTGCACTTGTTTCTTTGCAGGACATATTTTGCTGTAAACTTCCCTTTTAGAACCACTTTTGCTGCATCCCAAAGATTTTGAACCATTGTGTTTTCATTTTCATTTGTTTCCATGCACTTTTTTATTTCTTCTTTTATTTTCTGATTGACCTATCCATTGTTTAGTAACATGCTGTTTAACCTCCATGTATTTGTGGTCTTTCCAGATTTTTTCTTGTGGTTAACTTCTAGTTTTATAGCATTGTGGTCAGAAAAGATGCATGGTATGACTTCGATCTTTTTAAATTTGTTGAGGCTTGCTTTGTGGCCCAATATGTGATCTATTCTGGAGAGTGTAAACGTGCACTTGGAAAGAATGTATATTCTGCTGTTTTAGGATGAATATATCTGTTAAATCCATCTGGTCCAGTGTGTCATTCAAAGCCATTGTTCCCTTGTTGATTTTCTGTTTAGATGATCTGTTCATTGATGTAAGTGGGGTGTTAAAGTCTCCAATTATTGTATTATTATCAATTATTTCCTTTATGTTTATTATTAACTGTTTTATGTATTTGAGTGCCCCCATATTGGGTACATAAATTTTTTTTAAAGATTTTATTTATTTGTCAGAGAGAGAGCATGCACAAGCAGGGGGAGCAGCAAGCAGAGGCAGAGGGAGAAGCAGGCTCCCTGCTGAGCAAGGAGCCCAACACGGGACTCAATCCCAGGACCCTGGGATCCTGACCTGAGCCAAAGGCAGATGCTTAACTGACTGAACCACCCAGGCATCCCTGGGTGCATAAATATTTACAATTGTTATATCTTCTTGTTGGATCATCCCCTTTATTACTGTATAGTGTCCTTCTTTGTCTCTTGTTACAGTGTTTGTTTTAAAGTCTATTTTGTCTGGTACAAGTATTGCTACTCTGGCTTTCTTTTGACTTCCATTTGCATGATAGATGTTTCTCCATTTCCCTCACTTTCAATCTGCAGCTGTCTTTAGGTCTAAAATGAGTCCCTTATAGGCAGCATATAGATGGATCTTGTTTTTTTTTCCATTCTGTCACTCTGTGTCTTTTGATTGGAGTGTTTAGTCCATTTATATTCAAAGTAATTATTGATAGGTATGTATTTATTGCCATTTGATTACTTGTTTTATGGTTGTTTCTGAAGATTTTCTCTTATCCTTTCTTGTCTCTCTTCCATGGTTTGCTGGTTTTCTTTAGTGATATATTCGGATTTCTTTCTCTTTATTCTTTGCAAATTTATTAGTGGTTTTTGATTTGTGGTTACCTAGATTTGTATATAACATCTTCTGCATATAGCAGTCTATATTAAGTTGATGGTTGTTTAAATTTGAACCCATTCTTTACTCCTCTCCTCCCTATGTTTTAGGTATATGGTGTCATATTTTACATTCTTTTATTTCATTAGTTCCTTGACTGATTTTTTTACGGGAATATTCATTTTTACTGCTTTTGTGTTAACTGCCTTCATACTGTCACTTTTTATCTCTCCTTTTTACTCAAAGAGTCCCCTTTCGTATTTCTTGTAGGGCTGCTTTACTGGTCATGAACTCCTTTCATTTTTTTGTTCGTGTGGGAAACTCTTTATCTCTCCTTCCATTCTGGATGATAGCCTTGCCGGATAGAGTATTCTTGGTCCCATTTAGCACTTTGAGTGTATCATGCCACTCCTCTCTGACTTAGAAGGTTTCTGCTGATAGCTTTATGGGGTTTCCTTTGTATGTAACTGTCTTTTGTCTTGCAGCTTTTAGTATTTTTTCTTTATCAGTATATTTTGCCATTTTAATTACAATATGTCTTGGTGTGGATCTACTTTTGTTGATTTTGTTGGGGGATCTCTGTGCCTCCTGGATCTGCATATTTGTTTCCTTCCCCAGATTAGGGCAGTTTTTAGCTGTTATTTCTTCAAATAAATTCTCTGCCCCCCTTTCTCACTTTTCTTCCTCTGGGACTCCTATAATATAAATGTTAATATGTTTGATGGAATCACTGAGTTCCCTAAGTCTAGACTCATTTTGCATAATTCTTTTCTTCTCTCTTTTGTTCAGACTTACTACTTTCTATTACTCTGTCTTCTAGGTCTGTTCATTCCATCAAACATTTCATTTATTGACCCCTTTAACTCTGCTGTTATTCTTTATGTCTGTGTTAATGGTCCCATTGATGTCCTCCACTCTTTTCTCAAGTCCAGTGAGTATCCTTATGATCATTGCTTTAAATTCTCTATTAGGCATGTTATTTATATCTGTTTTGCTTAGATCTCCAGCCATGGCCTTGTCCTGTTCTTTCATTTGGGACAAATTTCTCTGTCTTCTCATTTTATCTAAGTTTCTGTGCCTGTTTCTCTGTGTTAGGAAAGTCAGCTATATCTTCTATCTTGAGGATAATGGCCTTATGAAGAGGTCCTGTATTACCCTGCTCTGTGTAGCGTCCCCTCTTCCCCTAAAAGCCTGGTGCTTCTAGGAGTGTCTTCAGTGTGTTCTGTGTGTGCTCTCCTGTTTTGTCCTGGCTACTTTATCCTTCAGGCCAGTTGCCTGCAGAGGCTCTCTTTGCCTGTTATGGGCAGTGTTTGGTCCCTGGCCTGAATGTGGTGAGTTTTAACTAAATATGCTCTGGTTTGCTTGTGAAAGGAGATCTGTTGCCACCACCACTGGAACTGAAGCCCTACAGAACTCCCAGTTCAGGAGACGCACTGTGGGCAGGGGTTGGGCCAGTCTTCTGGGGGAGGGGGCCCACCAGGTTGGGACTCAAGCAAGCGAGACTGGGAAGGGTGGTTCTTCCAGAGTATGGAGGTGGGAAGTTGGGGGTATGGTGTATAGGGCTTGGTGTAAACAAGTTAGGTATTGCATGTCAGCACTGCACTTGTTCCCACAGGTGGCCCTGTCCTTATGCTGAGGGATGGGGGAGGGAGATAGCTCTGGCCAGTTTCCTTGTTCCTGAAGGAGTATCTCCATGAATGCTGCCTCTCTGGGACACAGTCTGAGATGAGCAAGTAACCTCCCCATTGTGTGCCCCGGGTGGTCTTCAGATTGCTGCTTCCATGCTGTATGTCCATGGGCTGTTTCTCCTGCCTTCTCTTCAAGAGCAGCCCCAATGTCCTCTAAGCTCTCTCAGAGCCAAGCATGCTGGCCTTTAAAACTACAGGCTTTTTTTTTTTTTTAAGATTTTATTTATTTAGGGGCGCC